CGTTCGCCGGGAATTGCGATTGATTTAAGGGTAGAGAAGTGTTATAGTTTCGAAGAGATGAGAAAAATTTTAGTTATTAGGGAGAAGTCATAAAGTAGGGTTTTCAATTTTCGAGCCAATTTCGGGCCGATTTGTCAACGAGCACCTTCCTCTTAAATTCTCCTCAATCGATCGACAGATATCAACTTAATAATTTGAATATAGACAGTGCCCTTTCATCAGATAAAAGACAAACGCCGGATTCCGCGTATTTTTCACGCACTATCTATTCCGGATCTCTTCCCCCAACATCGGGAGGCTCCCCTTCGTTTTCTCTCCGAAAGATTTTGCTCCGGTGACTGAGTAGCCCATTTCCATGAAGCGGGCCGAGCGTACTGACGTCATCTCCGCTTATCGACTCCGGCTATGGGGTAGGTCGGGTTTTTTAGTTGGAATAATCCCGCCGCTTCAGCGAGGAGAACAACGTTTGTTCTGGTTTTACTTTTATAGGTTAGCGGGCGGATTTTTTTACGTATGCTCGAGCACGTCATTATTTTACATAACACGCGCTCGGGCTCTATTCACCACAGGCTCACTCCAAATGATTGAGAATTAACGATTAAAATTCCACAAATGGGGCAGGTGTAAATGCGCTTTGTTCAATATTTTTCTGGATTATTATTTTTAGAGTATTTTAGCGCACAAAAAAAAAGTCTTATTAAAGACTTCTCTTATTAACTGATAAAATGGTATTAGGGATGGAAAATAATTTGGGAAATTAGCGTTTTTTTGCGGGAGAAATTCGATTAGGTACACAAAAGGAATGGTGCGAATGTTCGGCCCGAATGACCATTGGCGGCGATGACAGCGCACGGCGTCGCGACGCCTGCGTGAGTCGGGAGCGGTCGCTGACAGTGTGCCGTCGCGTATCGTGGAGCTAAGATGCTAGATAGCAGGCTCCTCTCCGAAAGACTCGCGGTTCTGGACGACGTCGAACCCGCCGATCGTCTACACATGGGCCTCAAAGGAGGCACCAAAATCTCCATTCTCGTCTTCTAGATAGTGCGTTTAGGTTTCTTACATGGTTGTATAGGAAAAACGTATAGGCGTAATTTTAAGAGAAACATTGTTTCGTTGGTTTGTTTTCTGTTTTTGGAGTTTTTTCGACGCCAATCGAGCGCTGACTTCGGGTCAAACGGGTACTGTACATAGTGTGTATTTAGGGACCAAATATCTCTGTGTATTTAAATTTTTAATCGATTAGGATTTGTGTATTTTAAAGGTAAGACACATACTTTTAAAAATATCACACACAAAAACTTTTTATCACTATTCTACATAACCTCCCTAAAACACTTTTAGGGACTGTCTTTTCTTATCATTTCTTAGTTTTTTTTAACTCTGAGAAGAAGTTACAATTATGAAAAAAAATAGTATATGAAACATTTGTAGATAAAAATAACCACACATTTTTTCTTTCAAAAAGTATTTTATGATTTATTATATGAAAGTTTATGTTTCTCAAAGTTATTCCCAGTAGGCGTGTCCACTACTTAGAGCAACTAGTTTTCCTACAAAACTTATATTTGCAATATTCTTTTGAAATAGAGTAAGTACACACATACTTAGTATTCATTTAGCAAAATTTATAAAATAGATTAATTAGATAATAATTACAAAAAAGTGTTAATGCAACAAAAAAAAATAAACACAAATAGGCATTTACCAGCAATCATGAAAACGAAGTTCTCGGAATCTTCCAACTATAACAACATTTTCCTATAGTCAGCTGTAAGAAAACATCATTAACGCTCGTTCATAATAGATTCCTCCTTTCCGTATCGCCTCGGGCACCTCTTTCTTCGAGCGTTTCCCCTTAATTTCATCGGTCACATCGTAAAGACATTCTTCGTATAAGAAATTCAATAAAAACGTTGGAGTTGAAGAGCGCGCCGGCCGCGACCGCGGCCCCTTCCAAAATCTATTCCGGGGTAAAAAATTCGAGCGCGAAACTCAAAGAGACCGGAAAAAATGCCTCTACGCGAAAAGGTATAAGACGTATAAGACATCAAAGCTGGGGGTTTGTACGACTTTTTTCCGGCGATATTGCTAATCGGTTTCGTGCGGGGCAAAATCTAACCGAAACCCTTGGAAATCTGTTAAATTAATTTTGTATGTTTAACGCGTTAAAATATTATCCTGCGGACCTTCTATTTGGAGATATTATTATGGGGAGGATTTATATCCAATATGTGAATAACTGAATTCACTTGATTGTGTGAAACTAACTAAACCATGATAAGGTTTTGGATTATATCCTCAGAACATTATAGTGTATGCTATCGATATAAACGTTGTTATGACCACATATAAACTCCAAACCAGTTCGCTCAGAAGCATCGTGTAAAGCACTATTTATTAATAAAGAGATCGTTAATTTCCGCTTTACTACCAAGCCTATGAATTCGTAAACCCATTTCATTGGTAGAGTTTAAATATAAACTAACAATAATCTTTAATTTCACCGCACCAGTTAGTAGGTAAATAGGTATTATTTTTTTATGTGTTCAAATTTAAATTGCATTATTCGCGAATGTAATTTTTTATATCTCCAATTTATTATATAATCTCTTTGTTCCATTCCGCATTCACAGTTCTAATTCTGTAAACGCATTCACAATAGTATCAGATTTCAATAGGTGGGCTAAAATTAATTGAATTTCACCCGATGGAGAATTAATTTCAAAGTACAAATAAACGTTAGGGTAGGGCGGGGCTAGTTGAGCATACGGGTAAGTTGTGCAATCGAAATATCTCGCAAACTATTCACCGTACGCATAAACATCTTATGACGGAAAGAAGGGGTCGGGGGAGACCTAATCACAGAGCTATTGCAAGTGGCGCCTCGACAAGCGAGTAAAGCCCCCGTGCGTTTTGTTTTTTTTGTGACCAAAAAGTAAAAACGTCGTCTATCGCAAGTTTTCGTCTGTATTAGTCAAATATTATCCGTTTTCAATGGGGTAAGGGATAATATTCCAGAAAATTATTGTACTTTTGATATGTAGAGATGTTCTGGTTATAATTCTTACGATTTCTTTATGACCTCACTTTTATTTTAAAATTGCGGGTTGGGGTTAGTTGAGCAACTACTGCGAAATTTACCAGGAGAAAGTTGGATTCACTGCCAAGCTTGCAGGGAATGGGCACAAATAAAATGTCTTCCAGGTGCTATGGTCTTACTTTCATTTGTATTAATTGCAACAGTAACAACGACCAAAACTTGCTAATATATTATTAATATTTTTTTAAGCTATTTAATTCTGATTTTAAACAGAAAGCTCGTAAATTACTTTAAGTTTTGTTGTTTTGTCACTAAATCACAATAAATAAAGAGATGATTATAAAAATAAACATATCCTATATGTAAACATACCGTTGCTCAACTTACCTCACCTATGGGGTACATTGAGCATACTTGACTTTCTGCATTTAAACAGCTGTAGCTCTTAAATTCAACTAGTTACAAAAAAGTTACTATGGACACTTTTGTTAAGGGATAAATTACTAATCCATCAAGCCACATAACAAGTCATTCACACATATCATTGATGAGCTATATCCGCTAAAGTGAAAAGGTGCTCAACTAGCCCCGCCCTACCCTATTATGCACCTCCATACCTATAATGGTTATATTTACTCTAACTTCCTGGTATTTTTCGTAATGTATTTGCAGCTTTCATTCGCATCTAGTTTTTGCACGAATAGTATACTTTCCCGTTTACAACTAAAAGCTTCTACAAAGAGGTAAGATCGAGTCTGTTGAAATAAATCTTAGAGCAAAAACTTTAAGAAACTCTACGCTGAAGAGTACAGAAAACTCCGGATCATGCTCTAAGATTATATTTATTCGAGTAAAAATGTAGCAAAGTCGTATTATTCGAAATTTTGGGCGAGCTGAAAGCGTCATTCACGCTTTAAATTTTTCTTAAGAGCAGATTAATTCCTGTCGCGGAGCACAATGCTACCTGATCCCTATCAGTTAGCTGCTTTTCGCTGGAAATCGCCCCCGATTTCGACCTCGATCCCTTATCATCTTTTCATCGTTCGAGACTTGTTTCCATTATTTCTGCGAACGCTCCGTTCCGCATTTATTTTCAACTCGTCTGCCGGTAAATAATAAAACTGCTACTGCCATTCAATTTAACGGCTCTATTATCATTTCGAATTGATTACGTGTGTCGGATAGAGATGGCGAAGCCGCTGAAACGTCAAGTCGTTCTGTAGGGTTTTAATCTCGGTTTTCATCTCTTCAAATATTTAATTTACGTAATTGTTCGATCCATTCGATGGTTAAAATTTATTTTCGTCTAATGCTGGATCCTTACCTGTATTTATTAAGAAAGTGGAAAGTGATCAGATCTTCTAAAATAAAATGATAACGGCCTTTAACTGTAATAGTTTGGTATAGTTAAATATTGTGAGATGATAATACCATGCTATTAAGCAAATAACTAGTTGAAGCGCATGGAAAATGCTCCATGAATTTTTTGCTCATGCATACTCCCTACAAAGTACTAACGGACGTAAGGAAAGGTCTAACAATAGAATGTTTTCTCGATAAGTAGCTAACGTTTCAAGTTTGTATTCGCTTTACTGGTAGGTATAAAATCTTTTATTGGTCCGTCGGCCTTAAAATGAAACTTTTGTGAAAGCTCCACGTTCAGTGACTTCCAGAAAGTATCTTTATTGGATCGCGCGTGCATTAGACTAAAATGATTTGAATATACGGGCTCATAAAATGTATTTTATTGCGCCGGATCCCGTGATAGTGGCGATGGAGTTTTCGGGCGTTTTCAGCCGATAAATAGTCCAACGATATTTAATTGACCTCTTCGAAGCTGACGCTACATAATTCTCAAGATAAATAAATGAATTCCCCCGAAGGCTTTTTATTAGATCAATATTCGACGCTCGAACATCGCCGTTTGCCCGTGGTAAATAATCCGTTTTCGGTTTCAGATCTTAAATGGCCGTAGAAAATTCGACTCTAATCAAACTGACAAGTGCCATGGAAGAGGTGCTTTACAGATTCGAAGGCAACAACAGCGGCAACGGTTCGAACAATACGGTGGCCGTATCGCACTATCCCAGCGGTTATACTCTGCCGCAAATCGTGATCGCATCCGCGGTCGTCGTCTTGCTCATTATAGCCGTCGTCGTCGGCAACATGCTGGTCATAATCGCCATCGCCACCGAAAAGGCGTTGAAGAACATTCAGAACTGGTTCATCGCGTCGCTGGCCGTTTCCGATTTTTTGCTCGGGCTCATCATCATGCCGTTTTCGCTGGCAAATGAAGTCATGGGGTTCTGGATATTCGGACAGCTGTGGTGAGTTTATCATTTTGATCATGTAATTTTTCTTTTTCCTAGGGTTATGACACAAAAAAAGTTATCAAAAATTGAATTACGTGTTCTTTAATCGGAAATATCAAAAAAAGTGTAGACGCAAGAGAAGAAATCAATACTATCGAAATGGTACTATTTCGACCTTGTATAGATATAATACCTACTATCCCTTCGTAGCAGTATTGGTATTTTTTCCAGAATTTCTAGAGTTAAATCAAATGGAAATTCTCATTATGTTAAAATTTTTGTGAATTCTATTTATACGATTTATTTGTATATGAAAGTTAAACGGCGATAAAAATAGTTCAAATTTTTTGAATCAAAAGAAGCATTTGTACTGAAAGATTGTATTTTCTGGGATTTATTTTTAGTTGTAAAATAAGTGGTTTTTGTGGGATCCGTCGCAAAATTAGCTGCACTTGTGCATTAAAATGTGCTGTGCTTGAGGAAATTTCGAAGCGAAACGTTCGCTGTGTTTTTCGTTCTAACTAAATTAAATCCTTTGAGACAAAGTTTACGAGTAGGAAACACTATATTTTGCTCATCATTCCGATACAGCTGCACGCAACACAATAATTATATTAGGATACTTCGGGACCCTTTCCAATTAAAAAGTCTACCTTTATCTCTTTTGTATTCCACTCCGTTGTACTAATGTGTTTTTGTTTTCTGTAACGCAAGGCAGAAACAAACTTTGTGAGAATGGGGTTTAAAATCGCTCTTAGCGATGGGCAACTGTCCTTTTAGAACGGACACTTTCACTTTTAGGACGGGCCCGCAGGACGCAGATAGTCTTGTCGTGTTCGCATTAATTTATTTGAAAGCTTTCATATTTACTAAGTTTGTAAATTTGGAAAAGCGAGGTTGAATTGACGCAATCTCGCTAGCGCCATCTATTTGAATTTAGGTCTTACACGTAGTTTTGTTTTATTTGTTTGTACTATAATTTTGCTGGAGAGTGTACCACTATCGATATCCTTGTAAACCCAACTGTTTGTTGAATTATTTACGCACTTTGTATCCCGCGTAACATACATATGTGTTATTAATAACTTACCAATTATTATTAGGTAGAAAAAAAATGTAACGTGTAATTGATTAGGTAAATATACAGAGTGGTCCAATGGCGTCATTAAGTTGTTACTAGTTCTAAAAACATACAGCGAAAATGTACAAGGTTGTCTTTTTAAACAAGAGAATTATAGGTAATGCAAATACTTCTTTTGTGCATATATTTTTTAAATAATACACTGCACAAAATCGAAAAAAAGTAACTTTATATACATATTAATAGAGATCGTATAGACCTGTATATTTAAAATGATCAACATGCTAATTCAATTAATTCAATGTTCCCTAACAATTAATCATAAGAATAATTTGCTAATATATATGTATGCATACCTTGAAACAACCTTGATACCTGTTGTAATTCGACAAAAACTGCGTAATGAACTACAATAATTGATCACAAATAAAAAAAAATAGTTAGTTCCTGGATAAAATTTTAATCCTATTCTAAATTGGTAACTTAAAATTTTTTTTTTGGCTTTACAAGTCCTGAGTTCATATTTATTATTATTATTATTATTATTTTATGTATATTTTATTTTTTATGTTATAGCAGGCGAAGAAAATAAAAAGATAGGTTGTTTTTTAAAAGAAAATATGATATTTCAATGGACAATAAAAATATTTATTCATTACCTAATTATATTACTAAATTTATAAATAAATTTACCTACATAACTTTATTAGAAATTTGTTCATCGAAATTTTTAATAGCATCTATAATGTCATTGGCTATATTTTTATAATGAATTCGAGACTTCAACGCGCTCTCGTTGATTGTTATACAAATTTGCAATTTGTTGTCGTACGTAAAAAATGTACAAAACATCCCTAAAAATTAAATATGTAGGTATTTATTCATACCAAATTCCATTTTACTATACCTATCGCTTTGACTTGCGGTGGATAAAAATAAATATGTTCCATTTCGTGACCTACGCTTGTGAATCTTGGGCATCCAGGTATATTACTAACGATCATCGCTGTCTCCCATTTTTCAGATGGCAAAATAACGTGTCCAGGCCAAAGTCCGGCTAAATGATTCCAACCAAATTGTCTCACCTCAAATTAAACACAAGCTGCTTGTCTGGTAGGAAACGTAAATCGTTAATCGAATTTTGATGAATAAATTTACCTGAGTGTCGATAATATTTCTCGAATTCCTCAAATATTCCTTAACCTTGTTCAGTCGCACTGTAAACGATTCTGAGTTGACTATAACTGGTATAGGACATCGCAGTATAGAAATATTATTTGAAAGTTCGGCATATTCAGAACTGTTTGGCATACTCGTTATGAACGGTAAAGCCTGAACAAGTATATCAGGTTTTTGGTCTTCTGCCTGAAAATAAATTAATCAATTGCATAATATAAAGGAAATTATAACTTCTATTAGCAATAGACAATTAAACAACTTTGCTAAAAATTGAATTTGTCTAAACATTATTATTTAAATTTACTGTCTTAGTGTGCAGGTCGCACAACCAGTAATATTTTTATGAAAAATATTAATATAACGTTCTTGAGTTTTAATTTTATCTACATGTTACGCTCTACATGTTACGGTTATCATGTTACACCTATGATTAACTTAATGTATTTCAATTTTCTATATGAATATACTTAGACATTGAATTAAAAATATGCCCTATTAGGTACTGTATAAAATTTGCAAAATTTATGTTATAATAAATATAATTTATAACTTACTTTATCGAAATAGTTGTTGAGACTTTTGGATAGAGCCGTTAGCATAATTTCAATAAAAGTGGCGTTACCAATGTTCTTTTTTATTCTTTTGACTGTTTCCATAATCGACCCATCAATATCACTAGCAGTATAGACGTACTTTTTGCTTGATAAGGGAGATGGTTCGAAAATTTTTTCCCCATTTTTTGCATCAGACAGAAATAGTTTGTTCAGAAAAATGTATCCCGGCGTCAACATTAGTTGGTGTAAAAAAAGCAAAATTCTTACGTACGTAGGAGGTTTAACTGGTTCGCTGTATTTGATTGATTCTATTGCGTATTTGGCGAAATCTACAGGTTTATCTGAAAATATTTTCACTAAGGCTGTCGCTACAGACATGCCATCTCCGATAATGTGGTGAATCCGCAACACCAGCATACAGTGGTTTTCGCTTATATTTTGTTCAATTTTCCATGATGTAGGGGCGTCTATAGCTACCAATTCCCATGGAAAACGGTTGTTAAAAGGTAACTGCCTGCTACTAATATCACCAATTAATTCATCGGAACTTATATCACTATTTTCATCAATTTTTATCGTCGAGACGATTTCTTCGGCTTTGCAGTTGTTGCGCAACAAGTAGCCATATCCCATTAAACAATGAACCGAGCTGGTTAATTTGGGAATTTTTTCCTTTTTGTTAAGAATTTCCGTTGTAATTTTCTCCTTCACTCCATCAATGAAGGTAGGAAGCTCTTCATTCTTTAATGATGCGGCCAGTAAGATTGTTATGGTCGATTCATTCGGTTTTCCTAACGACCAAAGCGAATCGCCGCCCTTAATGAGCCCTATAAATTTTTCACCGTAACGAATTTTCAGATATACCGCCAGCAAAAATCTGAATACGTAGAAGAAAACGGAAAGAAATAAGAAAAGTGGCATGAGAAGGGCCGATATCATATAGCACAGCATGATAAATTCGAGATCATCTGGAACTTTTGCAAACCCTGAAATATAACAAGATACTAATAATTCGACTTGTAATGTAGCTGATATTTTTTTAGATCATTTATTTGCCGATATTGTGTAGGGAAATTATTTATTACGATGAAGTAATTAATGAATGAATAATAAACAATTATAAAAGTGTACTCACCCATTATAATTGTAAAAGCTGTACGCTTTATTACGCAGTGACACTCTACTAACAATTGTTATGTAATTCAAACAAAAATGGTTTTTATATTCAAGCGCCGAATTATAATAAGCTAATTATAATTCACTAAGTGGGACCCGATAACCGGTTAATTTTTAACATTATATTGATGCAGTGTTAGTTTTTTAATTTTATATTGCATATTATTATAAATCAATTAATAATCAATTTTGGTAGAAACTCGTTTCAAGTCTCTGCCAAATTAGTAATATTTTGCATCTAAACTAAACAAAATTAAAAAAAAAACAGATAATGATATAGTTAATTTCAGTATTATCTGATGGAATAAAATTATATGTTTCAGGTGTGAAATCCATTCGGCCCTTGACGTCCTGCTCAGCACCGCTTCCATATTAAACCTGTGTCTAATCTCTCTGGATCGGTACTGGAGTATAACGCAAGCCGTGGAATATCTTAAAAAACGGACTCCTGTGAGGGCGATAGTAATGATTGGAGCAGTGTGGGTGCTCTCAGCGCTCATTTCTATACCCCCTTTGCTGGGCTGGAAGGTACCAAGACCGAAGGACGTCGAGCAGTATCCAAAATGCCAAGTAAGTGTTTAAGAGTGTTTAAAATGTAACAAAATTTTCGCGAAAAATTTGTGCAAAATTCCGATAAAACTGTAATCTATCAGTCGAACGATGGCCAGTTATGAAACAACAAAGGACCGAGCCACATAAAATCGCATTATGTACGAACGCTAAGTTGATTTATGGCGGCGGTTGGTTAAGTAAATTTACTGGCCGCGATGATAACAATGAAATTAATATGAATTTAAATAGAAATGCACGTTAGGGGCAGTAAAATGGTTACATTTTGATTAGTTGATTATTCCGGTCTATTCCGGATTGTTTGCGGTCCATAAACACAACATTCCGTTTTGGCATAAAAAATACTATATGCACGCATCCAACATTAAAATACCAGTTTAACATAATACAAACAACAAACTTGGTCGTAGCAAATTAACTAAAATTGTATATACAATTACGGAACGCAAATTGTGTTATATAAACCAGCACAGTTTACTCTTCCATCGCCTAGATTTCCCGAGATATTTCGTATATTCATTCCCACCGTTTTCTCTTTTTATTTCCCCATAACGTTACGTTCTTATCGTGCGGGTTTTCGACCTACGTACGAAGCGAAAATCTTGGTATGGAGGCATTTTATTGCGTCCCGAAACTACCGCGGAAATTCCCTACCAACAATGAAAATACATCCGCAATATCATAAACACGCAACAGTAAAAAAAATAACTGACAAGTAAAAGTAAAGCCGAACCGAAATTTGAATACGATATTAAAATTCAACGGTTTACCGTATTATTTACTGGAAATTTAAGGCGTGGGCGCAAACACTGTATATCCATCAAAGATAAATTTGATTTGCTATGGTCTTGTCAAAAAGGTTTTCCTGCCACATTATTTTATACAGTTGGTATATAGAAATTTATTCTATCCATTTATACAATGGGATAATTGTAGCGTTATGTGACAGGACGCCAAACTAAAAGCGTTAGAAGAAAGAAGTAAAAAAATTAAATGGGCTCCTTTAGCCGGATCATTCTCTCCCAATTTCCCCCTTAAGGAACCATCTAACTCGTTTAATTTAACGTCCGCCCGGCCAAGATATCTCATCGTCCCTTAAGAGCCCACCGACGAAATTGGAAAGTGTAGTTTTTTTTATATGCGTGAGATGAACGAGAAAAAAAAACAAAGCGCAAACCGCATTACGACCAGATTGTTTCGCCTTTTTATGGCACCGCCAGGATTCGATCTCATCCGCTAATGCAGCCTCTCCAGCCCCGCTTTTCGCCCTTAATTTTCATATTTCCTGCGCTGCGTTACGCCAGATTCGACGATTCGCCGTCAGTCATAATGCCGAATAAATTAGGAGTTATTCGCTTTCCGGGGGTCGAGGAAAATGATAGTTAAAACTTTGTCACTCGCGCCCCGGAGGATACCCCAAAATGACGTCGAATTTCGCTATCTTAGGATTTAGTCAGTCGTAACGTCGAGACTGAGCATATCTATACTTAAATATTTAATTGGATGTCTCCTTTGAATCATGTTTTAAAATTAGCATATACACCTACCTTATTCCATCCAGGATATTCTATATTCAACCGACGCTGTACAGGTGAGACAGTTGACATTTTTCTAAATAAAAGCGACGTTCGCGGGACGATTATCCTTCGACGTAAGCCATAAATAACTTTCTCTGGAAGCGAAATAAATAAAAAACAAACCGAACTGTTTTATCTTCCGACAACAATACCAGTAAATAAAGTACGTTATGGTGTCTGTACAAAAATTTTGTTTCCTTTCTTGGCGCTGCGAGCGAACTCTCCAAGTCGAGTTAAATTACACGTGTAAGATTCCTTAAAAGAATACAAAAACGACGGCTGAAAGCTTGCCAGAAAATTACGTCGAAATTTTCTACGTGAAGGAACTTTGGAAGGTGCGATTATAATCTATCTACAGAAACATTAATTTTTGTTGACGATTATGTAAAAGCAATTTTAATAGTAGATTAACCCATAAGGATAAAATCGCTAGGCGAATGAGCTTATTTATTTTTTTTTATCTTTTCAGATCCATTCGGAAGATCCTTAGTTTCTTTAGCTCTTTTTCCCGAACTTCTATTTAGACCCATTTTTACATTTTCTTCATCCAATTAACCAATTTTACCAAATATTGGTAATCATATCCCCTGCAATAATCAACTCCCTTGCCATTTGAAGCTTGCAGATTAGTTTATTCATTACTTGTGGGCATAATTTTAATTGCAGATTAAAAAATCAAAAATACCTATACCTACCTACCTTCATAAATAACAAAATTTGTACAACGTAAAATTGGAATATACAAATTCTTCAACTTATGCCACACGGTTAAAACGGGTATAATGAATATGAAAATAGCTTATTAAAGCTTCGATCTTGTTTCTTCGATCAAGCAAATATTGCATATAAATTGATTTATTAACTGCAAAATTACATCACAAACAACATGTGCTGTTAATATAGGCTACAGGAATATGTTTATTAATTGCAACTAGCTTTTATGCTGCAACCATAATTTTAAGATATAACTTTGATTTAGGTGCATATCAGTTCCTATAAAAATTTAAGAATACAAAATCGCTGACATAGGGTAAACATAAATTGTGCATAAAAGTGATGAGGGATATCTGAAAGTGTTGAATCATGGGGTAATAAGGAGGAATCTATATGAAAGCAGTCAAATGTCTTGGCAAGTAAACTAAATTTTCGACGTGTTACAAAACCTCCACATAAGATTATAAACCGGAGTTATTGGGGGTAGTGCTTTCAAAGAAGAAACTAGGTCAGACCATCGCCATCGCCATCGCCGCGCCGCATTCAGCAGAAAAGCATGACAAACAGCAGCGCTTATAATAAATTTTTTATGGCGCTTTTTTCTTTTTACGATATTCCTGCGGAGGTTTTCAAACTCGTACTGGAAAATAATTCGTCTAAATTATCATACTTTTATTAGCCTATCGCTATCGAATCAAAGAAACCAATTAACAATTTTCATTGATACGGATTAAAAAGCAAGGCGATAAGATAATGTTAGTATTGTATTTTAAACGATCGCTTTCGTTCCGTACTGTATATTAACAAAAAGCGAAGTTTCCATTGTGTACTTTTATCGCCTTTCCGGAGAAAAGGAAAAGGGAAACGCCAGTTATTAAAAGATTAATTATACACGGCGTATTACGAACGCAATCTCGAACTTTTTTCTCTATAGGCCTTTTCTTAACCTCTCGTTGAAAAGCCCAAATCAATAAAAGGGTATGGATAAGAAACTCCTTCGCACCCGTCATCTATCATCCAACGACAATACAAACTACTTTCTATACGTCTACTTCTTTCTACGTAAAAAAGTTTACATCGGCAATCAATCAAATGCATTCGAACCACTTGGGTACAAATTCAATGTTTAATGCTTTAGTATTTTTTCTTTATACCTAACACATGTCAGCGTACGTGTAGACGTAGAACAATGAAAATAATTGCGATAATAACGCAAACTCGAGGCGATAATTTATTCGGAAATACTCCGCGATCAATTCGAAGGGAGTATGGTAAAGTGAAGATGAGATATCGCCGATATAATTTGTCAGTCATCGGATGGAATCTTGAATGGAAACTCATTATTGTCTAGAGGCGTTGCTTTATCAGCGAAAACCAACTCCTATGGAATAATTAGCTTTCCGAAGTTAGACAACACTTCTATCGTATAAAGACGAGAGCTTCTGGGCTCTGTGTGACTTCCGAGTAGTAATGACAACTTCAATCGCAATTGATATCATAATAACGGTTTTATAGACGATAATTGATAGGTAATAAGAGACAGTTTATGGGAAATAAAAATATCAGTTCTATCAATGCACCTTTTATAAAAAGGTGTATTCTGAAAGAGCTTTGTTTAATTTAAAAAATACTACTGGCTGATCCCTTTTCAAAAGTTGCAATAAAACAATAAAAATTAATTCATTGTTCTAACATAAAACAATAAAAGATTTTATTACGCCTTCTTTTTTACAATGTGCAAATTTACATAGTTGACATAATTTTAATGACGTATAAAAGAAAGTTTTTCAACAACTTAAGCGTTAAAATGCGCATAAATAATTAATTTCTATTAAAATTCTAGACCTAAAAATCAATTGGAATTGGTACTTATACCAAAACATAAAACAATACTACACAGGTGAAATTATGTATAAATAATAAAATCTCTTTAGTCCATATAAATTAAATTTCAGAGACCTTATCTATTCCTAAACTATAATAGAAGTACTTAGATCACGTTAATAGCGTATTTATGCAATTATCTATAGATAATATTCCTAGTCACCTAGATTTAGACCTTATGGAATACCAATTTAAAACGAAGAAAACTGTACTACTCCTACTACTCCTTGCAAAGGCAACAGCAGAGCAACGAAAGACAGGCCAAGCCGCAACACCATTTGCAACATCCGTCTTCCTCTTGTTGCGGCTGCTGCGGGGGCGGGTTGTATTGCGGTTGGGGTGGATAAACTTGGGGCGGTGGTGGTCCGTAGTTTGAAGGCGGTGGTCCCCAGCCTTGTGGAGGTGGATTTTGGGGGTACTGGTTGGGCCCGTATTGCTGGTTATACGACATTGTTTTGGAAGAAGATTCTGTGAAAACTAGGAAGTCTGTAGATAAGTACTTGCAGTTAAGTGGAGCTTTTAGATAAATTATGCTGTGTTTTTATGAGCATGTCAAAAAGAAAGTATAAAAACTTACCTCTGTTGAACTAGTAAAATGATTGTGTATAGCTAATACAATTAGATACTTTATATGTGCGTTCCTTTATGTATGTTGATGGACGACTAAAAATATCGTATCTTATCTAGCTATTTATCATGACAAGCAACAATATTTTGAATTATCTCTAGTGTATGTTGTAGGTATACGCTTATCTCATAGTTATTTAATTAGTATTTTCCAAATGACTAAATACTACTTGGAAAGATTAATATTTTTAAGTATACTTAGATTACATTTACGCATCTAAAATTTCTCAGAAAAATTCATGAAAAAAATAGAAACCCAAGATTATCTAATACGGGATAATTTCGCTACGAAACAAATTTCCATTAATTAGAAGACATTCATCAAAAATGCTGCGAGAATGTAGACGAGAAGGGTGAAGCTCGCAGTGATTGAGGATGCAATTTCATTTTATAAGACCTAGTCTCGGCTTCGACTTCGATTTATACGTCTTTAAACGAAATAGAAACGGGCGCCTAAGCATGTCAAAACAATATGTATTGATTAAGGGATCCGCGAATCGAGACGACCCGAAGTACGCGTAGAGGAACGTCCCGGTGCCCAGAAGGCATTCATTATGCCGAACCCATCCGTAAGCGGTGGGATATATCACCAGAAAGATAACTGTCAAAACCAGAAATCTGCATCGTTTGATTTATATTTGCGCTTTGATGATGATGGATCGCGCGAAGTTGTCCTGTCTGGATTTCGAATTGTTAAATTCTCCGACCGTTTATGATGGGTATTGAATAATCGCGATCGTACTAGCACAATGTGCCCGCCGAAAGAGCAACTAATTGAACCGAATCGATAGCGGCGACTGGAGCAATTTTACTGGCCCGAATTGTCAGATTTTCGCTTCTGTGACTTAACTAATTGAAATTGTTGTTCGACAAGAAGTTAATGAAACATGATTTAACCGGGTTCATTTCGTTATGGAATTTACGGTTCATTTAATTTTGGTAATTAGATAATACGATGAAGTTATAAGAATGTATAATATACCGATCCTCTTTTCCCGAAACGGAAATACGGAAGTATAAAATCAATTTTTATTATACGTGAAAACAACTATCGCAGATATATCAAAGGGAATTCATATAGAAAAGGCTCCGATATTACCTCCATTATACACATTCGGCTTTGTTTCTCTCTGACTTATCTCCATTTTTTTTGTTAGAAAATAAAATATTACGGAAGCTGAGGTGATTTCTCTCGAATTCGACGATTCGTTTTACGTCATCGTTTTCCTTCATAGACCCGAGTCGATTATTCGTCGCATTAAAAAAGATTTAGTTTTTTTTTTGCCAGACAAATTCTGTATAACGCTTTTGAGGACGTTTCCATCCATTGTAACAACGTTGCTGAAAAGTCATTCGAATAAAAGGGTTCGCATTCGATGCCAAAAATTCGGGAAAAATCAACAATACGGTAAAATCGAAGGCCTTTGTGGGCATATATTATTGTTGGCCAGTTAGTTTGGAAAGGCAAGGACGCATATTGGTGATTGTTCTACAAACTTATTTCTCGATCGATAATTTTATTGTGCATTGGTTCGTGTATTAATTGTTGGAAAAAGGCTGCACCATTTGCTCGGTAACTTTTTTTGTAAATACATGTAGAATTGATACAAGTTACATTCGATCCGTTTGTTTGTTTATGGTCGAACTTAACAGGATATCAGTTTACTTGAGTTCGGTAAATATTGTTTATTTGAATTGTAAAGCAGAGTTTGGTTATTTTTTCGTTGCGAAATACAATCACATATAGGTATTCCTATACTCTCCAAACAAATCTACCTGCTATTTTCCAATGCTTATACTTATTCATTCAATCATTATTATTAATTAGATTGCTATCAGACATCCTATTTTTAGTTTATCTTGCATCTTGAAGTATGTACTTTTCGTTTCGTAAAAAGTTCACTTTTAAAAAACACAAAACCGTCATTGCCGGTTAGTTTTTCGCTCCATTCTCGAGAAGGAACTCGAATTTTCTTTCCTCTGCGAATCTTTCAGCGCCAGAGAGCGATGTTTCACCTCCCAGGATACACATAAATCAGGGGAAGAAGTAGATTCAATCGGGTATGATGAAAAATCCTCTTTAATTTGCAGCATCCTAACCTCGGGCCGAAGTCGTGAAATCCAAATGTCTGCCCATAAATTTCGAAACTAAGCAATTGCAAATTTGCACAGGATCGGAGTCGACCGTGTAGTTTCTCCCTTGCAATTTGTTAACCGATCGTTAAACTGCGCGGAGTAAGTGCTTGTGTAAATTAGTGCAATCAGAAATAAATCGTCTTACATCGTTTCCAGATACTGGATTTCTAATTTAGCATTGCGCGTACTTATGATAAATTAGTAGATTTCTACCTATTAAATCCACACGATCGATTTGTTTGGTAACGGGAAGATTCCTTTGTATATCGTAAATCTCCAGCTGTATTTATAAGAAGACATTTTTCATGTTAAACGATTTTTCGATAGTTTTAACCATTAGTGATTATCTACTCTTTTTAGGTCAGCTGTCCGACCAGATGGAGGGTTTTCCCTGATTTTAAACGTTTCGTGTCGTAGACACCACTCAATCGCCTTTTTTCTTTTCATCTATTATCCTTTGTTCCTGCCAAGTCACTTGTCTCTGGTCTAATATTTCATTAAAAAACTGGTTATAAATTACCCATAATTAGATTAGTTACCAATTAAGCGTAATTAGCTTGCTAGCGAGTGGTAAATTAAGTTAAAATCATCTTTTCCGAAAAGTTTCGTATAAAAGTTCAACAAAGAAAACGGGAGATACGTTTTGTAATTCGTAAGCTGTAAATAGTTTTCAGTTTATTATAAATCTTGTGAATGGTAGCGATAGAGCTTGACACGTGCGAAAGGAAAATCCGCTGTATATACAGTGAAAATGGCCGAAATGACGCAAGAAAAGCGCTTTGTTGAATCACGAAAGCGGAGCGGTCTCATCTGTGGCTAGTTAAAGTTTTTGTAGGTTTTGCCATTTTCGTTGTCCTCGCTTTTACCTACTCTATTCCGACGTTGCCGAAGCTACCCTTTGTAATGGCAGGCATGCGAGGAACGTTGGAATATAAAGAGAAAATCGTCAACTACTGAAAGTGTATTCAATTTTTCAGGAGGAAAAAAAAAACCGTTACTTTTTGCATATCCTAGTTCGCGTAGAATTTTTAATAGGGAAAAGCTGGCAGTTTGCGGCGTCGAATGGAAGCGCGACAACAGCGCCGCACTCGTTGATGGTCGGTATTTTTTGTTGAATTTCGTTTCCTCCGACGAATTTCAGTAATTTTCGGGGCACCTGCTGGCGTTTTTTTATCAGCCGGGATACATTTCAGGAAGTGAAACGGGAACTAAATTACCGAATTATTGTTTAACCTCGCATGAAAAAATTGCACATTTGCCACTCGCATTCTAATAAAAGGAGCTTTCGAGATTTATGCATTCATCGCCGAAAACAAACCAGCACGCACGAAAGTATTAAATTTTGTATGCTAGTATTATGCTTTTTATCAGAAACCACATCTAATATTCATGTTTATGGTAAATTTGGTTTATTTTTCCTCTTTAACAATTTTGGTTTGTTGGACGATAACAGATTATAAAAATTTAATTAAGAAAGAAATGTATGTAGGTTGATAAAAATTGATTAAAACTCCCATTAAAATGAAAACCTTATCCAAAAAGAATGAATTACAGGATAATTAATGACGTTTCGAGGAAGCATAAAGAAATTTCTAGTTTTGTAGAAATAACAATCCTGCCATAATGAAACCCTGCATTACATGTTGTGTAGCTTTTTTAATTTATTAATATAGATTTACCTATGTAATGTAATATGTATGTATTTTATTAATGCCTACATCTACTATAAATAGGTTTTCGTAATGCGATTTGCCCTGAAAATATTCTATGTATAGTTATTTTTAGATCACGTTTCGAAAGCTCATAATTTTTTATAACGACACCAATCTTTTTTTTTCCGTAATCAAAATTTAATTACAGATTAATAAGTTCTCTGGGTTTATCATTCCCGGCGAATAATTAAGAATTTCGTTTGATCCCCAACCGTTCTTTACCGACTTTTCCGTTCTATCCCCTCAATTCGGTGTCTTTACTTCGACTTTTGATTGATTAACAAACCGAATTGTTTCAATCCGGACGAAAAACAACAGGAAATAGTTTCTGCGGATGGGGCTTTACGTTTCCCGTAAACGAGCCAAAACTAATTGCTCATCAAAACTCCGGGGAACGTTAATCAAATTCCGATCACGAATGAGTGCTCCCGAAAGATTTCCCTCGTTACCGGGATATATATCGTTATCGTGTTTTATTTACTGATCTGGAATAACTTTGTCCTGTAATTCAATTTTAAATTAAGTGCGCTCTACCTTGACCGCGGACATCGGGATTCGATGCAGCGCTCGCCAGAATCACCAATATGCCGAATGAAGTACCTTTACCCACGTGTTTGTATGTATATTGAATGAGTTTGTTGTGGCGTTGACCGGTCAATGTATTAATTAACATATTTATTTAATAACTTATTCTATAAAAAAGCACCAATTAACAACTAATTCCGTCTCTATTTGTATATAAAATGTGTATTAAATGTTATAAAAAGGCCGTGTTTATCCATTTTGTATTCGGAGCACATTCCTCATCATTTGTCCTTATGTCAATTTGAAGCGGTACAGGCGTATGGAGTATTATTTATTTTATTGGAAGTGTAATAATTCGGAGGGAAGCGTTCCCGTGTGATGATAATTTGTTCATTTCTCTTTGACAGGTATATATGTGGACAGGCTTTATTACCGGAAACATCGGGCAGAAAGGAATTGGATTTATTTTTTCGTATTATATTCTCTTTTCGCTGAAAAGAAATGATAAACGACCAGGTCGGCGAAAATGTAATAGATTTTCATACGGGAAAGTGACAATTTTTTATTATAAAATTTTTAGTAGAGGAAAAAAGTAGAGTTTTCCAGTGTGGGCAATTACATAAATTAATATGGCAAATTTGTGCTTCAACAAAACGTTTTAATTGCGACTTGTTACCTTGTTATTTAAATTTATTCAATACGAAACGGTTTCGTTGGTGAAAGCCGTGGTTCTATCTATACGTATAGTCGTTAACAAATATTCATATTTCTCTAGACGTTCAATGTTTCCTAACTCCAAATACACTCGGATTTTCGAATCCACTTCTGAATCAGTATTTGAGTTATTAACTTTGACTTTACGAAGTTTGCTTTGTGGTTGGAACATGTATGCCTGCCGACTCTTGTCGAAGTTAATTGCGACCTTTTTATGCGTTGTCCGGGATCCGATTGAATTCGTAGTTTTGAAATCAATTCACCCGCACTTATAATTGAATAGATTATTCATAAACTTCCTTTTTCAATAGTTTAATAACTACCCAACTATTTTATTAATTATCTATAGAAGAAGATGAATTAGGTAGATACGATTCCTCAACACGACTTGTATTTTGTTGAATGATAATTTGTCGAAGAACTAAGGGAACATCATCCCCCGACGAAGATAATGTTGTTTCTGGAACGAGATTATTTTGCCTTTGCGGATTCCTCGTCTTAAAAGGCCGCCCGAAGATAATGGAAGCGATACGACGACGTTACTGGAGGACGATTTGAATGAATCAAAATCTGGAAAATGGAGAAAACGTTTTAAGTGGATGCGAATTTTCTGTGAGGTTTCAGAAATGCGATTCGCTAATTTATCTTAATGATGATTTTATCACGAGGCGTTAATATGAATTCATTTACGAAAATACTTCCTATTTATATTTGTAGTGTAACTAACATTTTAATCTCATTGTTCATTACCGGACTATTTATCTCCTAAAAGAGACGTTTAATCTGCTAAAAATCCCATTCATTATCTTCCAACAACAGGAAACACAACTGTTTAATTAGTTCGCAACAAAATCTGTTCCTTGTAATTTGTTTTAATTAACTATTATTGACGGAAGGAAAACATTTATTACCGCTTCGCTGTCAGCGAAATCGAAGGGAATTAAAAACTCGATAAATGCTGAAACAGTCGCCAATAAAGCAATTTCGAACTGTCTTTTCATCGTCGATTCCATGTGCTCGAATTACATTTATTGTCCGTTTTCTCTCGAAGGAAGGAA